GTGTGTGTGTGTGTGTGTGTGTGTGTGTGTGTGTGTGTGTGTGTGTGTTTGTGTGTGTGCGTTTGATGGGTTTTTGTTATCGCTTTCTTTCATAGTCTACTACTTTGGATCTTTGCGGTCTTCCTATCCATGTCAGATATTTATATTACGCTTATTCTTCGTTTCTTATATCAGTTAGGGCTCAGGGTATAGTGGAAAGGAAGCTAGAAACGTTCAATTTGATTGTATTGTGCGCCGCAGGTCTAATAGTCCTAGTTGTTAGCTTTCTCTATCGTTTGAACTCGCCAAATAATTTGGAAACGATCTCATACCTTCGTATAAGATTTCAATCATATTTTGTTTTGCTACGTAGCAACAAGCTGTACAGTGTATAACACAAGATCGGTTCCGCTTACTCTCTGTACTATATTCGTACAAAACGATCATTCATTCGCATTATCTGTATGCTTGGTATGCCCACGGGTAAAATTATCTATCTAGTAATACGTACAATGGCGTTGCATGCGATGCTTCTGACAAGGCTATAGAGTCGTATAATATTTTAACTTGACCACATCGCGTACAAATGTTCGACTAGTCATGTGAGCCTATGCTTTTTCTTTGGGTACGTGCATTTGTATCAAGCATGTACAATTAAGCACTCACCGTTGCTCGTACATGATAATTTCCTCTTACTAGACTGGCGGGCATCGCTGGGAAGTTTGACTAAGAAGAAAGGACGACGAAGCAAAAAAATATGTAAACAGCTAAAGCTGCCTGCAGAGCTCACACACGTAGCATCATCTGCTTTAGCGCACACACCATGCGATTCAAGCTTGACGCACAGCGCCGATATCGGGACATCATGTACCTCATCAGCAAAGAGAAGGAGAAAGAGCTGCTCTTCTGGCTCTGTAAAGGAGAAAAGATGGACATCCCTTGCGAAAGACACATGTACGATTGCGTCTGAGGGAGCGTCTACGCTTATATCACTTCGGAGTGCACGCAGCGTATTGGATGAGCAATGTATACTGGATAGTCTCAAACTGAAACAGAAAGATCTGGGGGGTGTATCGGGTGCAACGAGGCCGTTGTCACAGGTTGACCCCAGTCTGCACACATTCCGTGCCCAGGAATTTGACGATGAAAGTCGGTGGGAGGGGTCGAATCACTGTCATGTGTCACCTTCAAGCTCATGTTCGATGAGGTCGAGCGCGAGAGCAGTACAGAAGAGAAGGAAGACGCATCGAACACCTTCACTGTCAGTAAGTATGTCAGGTACACGACCGAGATTGACCCAAGCAATATCGAGTTTTACTACCAGTACAGATCAAACTTTGTCGCTGGAGGTGTCCCCGGCATCATCCGTGCCCTTTTCGTCGCCGTCTGGTGAGAAGACTCAGGTGCCTATATATAGATCTCGGAACTCGGCTTTGCGAGTAGAGAGTGCAGACGGGCAGACGATTAATCACAGAAGTAGGTTGAGTGGTTATAATAATGGAAAAAATCGGAGGAAAAACTTGAAACCGAATTCGAACCAAACACTGGTCTTACCCTCGTCCCCAACATCTAAGAACCTTTCGAATTCGGCACCGATTAACTTTGGAAGAAATCGTTCAGGGCCGTCGGTGTCGGCTAGCAATTGGAAGGAGATATTGGCTAAAAAGGGAGTTATTCCTATCAGTTCAGGACGATTGCCAGGACAGGGGTTCCAAATGCAGATACATAGCCAGAGGAAACGATCCCCCTCTCCGTTATCAACAGCGTCGACTGACAGTAGCTCCCTATTAAGTGGATCAGATATAGGTCAGGACTGTAGTCAGCGTAAGCGTCGACGGCTGGCAGGTACTACGAGGACAGTGCGTGATGTTGTCTCGAATAAAATTACCGGCAGTCACAATCTGCCACGCCGCACCCCTCACATAGTCGGACTCGATACTGCAGTTGTACCGAGAGCTACCTTCGCTATGCTAGACTCGCCAACCCTTCTAAACTCACCGCCCAACGATCGTGCATCGCGAATGGGGAGTGAAACAGAGTTTGTAGATGATGTGGAAAGGGATAGCGATCATGCGAAGGACTGGTCGCGCATATCTGGTGCTGGGGAGCCGAGAAATGTAAAGTCAAGAACATCTGGGTCGTCAAACAGTATGCCATTTCTACAAAACGCATCTCTTTTAACGGTGAGTACGGTGCAACGGGATGGATCTGCTGGCGCATCAAACTCTGAAGTCGATGGCGACAGCTCTCAGGAGACCTTAAGCATCGAATGGAATAACAGCAGTACAACTAACGAGAATGACGACATGTCTGTCCAACAAGACTCAGTAGCACATGCGAACATGAGCGTTGGTGAGAATGTGTCACGAAAGGTGGACATACCTTCTGCATGCAGTATACTTGTGCCCATACCACAAAAAGACGCAGTTGAAACCACAAGCACTGTCAGAAGCGACAAAGACGATGAAACCGTTACACGTGCACAGGATAAGCCTTTCAATCCTCGCGCACTACTTTCTCGAAACGGTGACAGCACATCCATCCCGTATGTCAACTGAAGTGCTTCAGCACATGTGTATCTATGTACGTCGACACTAATCGTGAGTGACTGAATTTACTGGCATATGTTAGCATGAAAAAAAAATCGATGTTGTATATATGTTGTGTTTGCACGATACATAAAATACCCCCTAAAAAAATGGGATATACAAAAATGGCAGGATTTTTCACATAGACATCCTGTTTAGTCACAAACTCTTGAGTCGTGAAGTTTGAAGTATCTGATTTGCTCTGTGTGTTTATGGGTCATCATGTATCACTCATCACCAATATTTTGCATTTCTTCGTCGCGTGTTCAATCCTATATATTAAAGAACGCTCGGCATATACATGTGTAGGACAATTCATTCAAAATTAAACATGTGCTGGTTGAGCGAGATACTTTATTCTATAGCTTAAAATAATCAATAAGCTTCTCTTCCCTTGCAGCGCGTTTGCATACAAGTCGACGTCACTCTTAGCCATCGCACGGGAGCAGGAAAATGCAAATCATATGGGACAAAACAGAAGCGCGGATACATGCAAGCCTCAGAAAAACGGACTCAGTGGCTACTTAGAACACGCCATTAACAGGCGCAAAAGCCAAGCACGAATCTGGAACGATGGGATGTTGACCGGCGAGTTTCTGACCGTGTGTGTAGTGGATGTGTATGCACAGACCTACGGGGTAGTGATTGTAAGGTGTTGTATGATAGAATCCGATACAAACATGTATGAGGACGGGGTGGATTCACTGGTGAGCGCTGCAACGGAGGGTGTAGTGGAGGGCCCAGAGGTATACGTGGTGCTAGATTTACAGACAGCCTCTCTGCTGACATCAGTGCAAGATACTATTCTACAAATATACAGCCCGTGGCATACAGTTGAAGCACCGGTAGCCGATGGAAACAATTTGTACCCTATTGCGCTAGGAGGACATGGTGGTCCGGAAGTGGGGGAGTTAGATAGATACCCACGGGCCGACAAAAAAAAGAACGCCGAGCGGATTGAGCCCGATATTGAAGAGGTTCCCACATTCATTCCAGCTACCAATCATATAATTTTTCCCAGCCGCTGTGTTATTTTTACCCCAAGGTCGGAGCTGGGAGAGGATGCTACGTGAAGAATTGTTAATTTAAAATACACATAAATATTCTTGAAGTATGCAGTACAGGTGATGTGCTACACACGGAAGTAGGGTTTGGTACATTATGGAGACTACATTCTCATTTTCAATACCAACCGGGTTTTTCTATATTTGACGCTTTCATACGGTTTTATACTGTTTGCCTGTCGTGAATGAAGTGTGTTCCGTCCACATTGAAATGCTTAAAATTTTGCCATGGTTGTTGTCAAACTGGCACACCACAATCTATTTGTTGCCAACAGGACCTGTAGTTGTGTTGGTGAGCTTACCACGCCTTGTAACTTTGCAAAATCATTCACATGTTGAATGTAAGTGTGAATCAGGTTTAAATTTGGGTTTGCGGGGATGCGTAGTCAATCTGATATCTATACTTTTGTTTAATCAACTTAATATTTCATTCGATACAATACTATCGAAGTAGTTAATAAACCATATCGTTAAAAACTGTAAAACGGTTCGTCTCGAGACTCAGACGGGGGCGTGAGAAGTACTCTAGTTCATATATATGCGATGGCTAGTGTTAAATCATTTATTCAACATGCTACATCAGGTTAAGCCGATGTGCCGCGTCAACCACACCGGTGCCTGAGGCATTATAGGAAACAACTACGTTGTTTGCGAAATGATTTTCTTGCCTAGTATTGATCTTCCATATGCAGCATCAGAAATGTAGCGGGATTACCGGTAGATCATACCGGGGCTTTTGGTTTTTATATTTTTGTATTCTAATTTTTATGTATTTGTTATCTGTAGCAACCCAGCATGTATTACCTAAACTTAGTTTATTTTTTATATAACTATACATTGACATACTTGGTTATACAATAAACGGACTCTCTCGAAGTCTCGACTCTCGAGAGAAGACTGCGCTCAATTTTATTTAAATACGATTTCTTGGCCTTCTTGTTTAATTTTCAGAAGGGTTTTAGGGTTTTAGGTGATTTGGAGCTTTACATTGGTTACTAGGTGCTATCCTGTCCGGTATATAAATAGCATCACTCCGATCAGATTGTACACAGTTCGAGTCCACTCATCGGTCCCGCGTGTGAGAAAAACATTTTAGTAATAATTGAGTCTAGTGTAAAAAAACAACGGACTTTACCTAACTGTAAGATTCGCACTTGAGAAGAGGTCTATAGTTTCCTTGGTCGTAGCTTGCAAGCTACTCTTTACATGCCTTTTGAATCTGTCGATTGTGGCAAAATTGGCAAGTGATCTTTTCTGTTTGAGAACCGCTTGCTTGGAACTTTCAGCTTGCTTGCATAACTCCATAAAAAAAGGTAAGTATACAATGGCAAAGTGCGCAATGTTTCTAAGTCAAAGCCCGTGGGCATATCCAGTGAGGAACGGATAGAGGGCTCGGGCACACGGGAGTTATGAATGTTATCTTTGGGGTATTCATGTCCCTGTAAATTAGACCTGTGTATGCTAGAAAGCTGCCAGCTGCCCAACAGTAGAGTATACCACGCATTCAGTCGCATCCTTATGTAAATGCTCGAATTCTTGTAGCGCTGCAGCCAAACCTCGGGCAGTATAGTGTACCGAATCATCGCTTAAAGATCTGATTTTTGTTACATGATTAAGGCCCTTTTACTTTTCAAGGTCATTCGGCTGGGACCTCGTGTCAATGTAGGGGCAATATATTTAAATGTTCTTGGGCTCAGCATTGTGTATTTTGTTGCCTTCGTAAAACACACTCACTGTGCCTTTTATGGTGTATAGTAGTATTTACAATCTGCTGCTATTTACATATTAGTATTTTCAATGGGCGCATTCAGAGCCTCAACTTTCACCTGACCTATTACAGTGATATTGCGTGCTAAATATTTTAGGATGGTTGAAAGATTGAAATATCTGGACCGATCATATGGACAGGTGTGACTGTGTGCCAATGTGAGGGTGCTATTAATTTCAATTATCACCTATTACCAGCTACTACAGGCATCGATTATATTAGGATGGTTGAAAGATTGAAATATCTGGACCGATTATATGGACATGTGTGACTGTGTGCCAATGTGAGGGTGCTATTAATATCAATTATCACCTATTACCAGCTACTACAGGCATCGATAATAAAATCCACTGGGCTCAAGGCCACAGGCTATACGTAGAATGGAGCATAGATCTCACATTCCAGAATACCTCCCTACAATCAACCAATGAAATTCTTGCACTTGTTGACTAGTTCAAATTTCCTCCTCCTACGTTGGACCCCTTATTCGAGCGCTTTAACTCAGCACTCATTCAAGCAGCAGCCATCATCACGGGCACTAAATACCCTCGGTTTCCCAAACATCAAACAAACTTACTTCACTTTTGCGGCCTGCTCCCCGCGCGACCATTCGCGGACTACCTCGGAGGTTGCCTGGGAATACAACTCGACTCAATGGCAAGCACAAATCCACTTATCCCTCTGACGCAACCCGCCTGGGCCCACGATAAACCATCACTGTGCTTCCCGTACAGTATCTATGCTCACCTGAAAATTGTACACAAAACCACGGGCGGGCGTACACCCGACCATGTAGCCCTCCGCCAACGCTGTGACGACATCAGGAAGAACTCAACAGAACTTGGTCCAACAAAGAGATCGCGGCAATGGCCCGGCGCCAATACTGCTACCAACTGGTTATGGGTAAACCGCCAACCTCAAACCGAGACACAGCCAGACACGACAGCTTCAAACGCTGCTTCGAGTCTACACCAATCCGGTTCTGTGCTATGATTGTAACGAATACGTACATGTTCACATTGCTCGACTACCGCACCGACGGCTGTCTCTGCCCTGTCTGCCCCGGTAGCCACAAGTTCACTACCAGCCACTTTACTT